GTGTGTGTATATATATATATATACATATACATATATATATATAGTGAAAAATTTAAAACCTTCCCGGCTTCCGAAACTGGGTATTTGTCACAACCACCGCGGCAAAGACCCGCTGCGCCACCTGTTGGCTACACCTGTGAACTTCACCTTGTTCAGACCTGAATCCCGGGGAGAAAGAACCCCTGGGTCCAGAAGGCAGACTCCAGGCCAGGATGTAACTGCGGGCCGGAGCCACAGTCAGCGAAGTATCCGTGGTGGACACACATGCACACCTAGCGCTGTCCTTTGAAAACACAGTGTTTTCCTACCCATGATGATTGTTTCTAAGCCAAACATAAATCCTTTATGACATTTTGCTAGTGATATTTTCATTGCATATTTACTTATTTCCATTATCTTAAATTATTTATTTATTTTCATTATTTATCCTTTAGTTATGTATAAGTAATTGTTTAATTACAGTAGGTACTGGAGTAGAACTCCTATGAGCTAGGTATTTTTACATACTTAAAAAAAGAATCTCATGCTGTTTTTACATCCACTCTGCAAGGAAGAAAAAGCTTCCATTCTCAACGTGGGAGCCCTGCAGCCCAGCACACTCTGGGACCAGTGTTCCGGGGGCCAGGATCAGGTAGGAGCCCCGTGGGTTCTAAGCCCAGGACTGACTCCAGCCTCCTCGCCTTCTTCTCAATGCCTGGGGGGACTGGAGGCGGACCTCTGTGGTGTTTCTTCTCTGCCTTCTGTCCTTGGCCCCGGGTGAGTGGCTGTCCCTGGCGTGGCCTCAGGGCCACGTAAATCAGTGGAGAATTCACTGAGTGCCCTGGGTTAGCGCTTCACAAGCTGTACCTTATTAGCCCTCACACCACCCGTGGGAGGTGGAGAATTCGCTCTAATTGTCAAGTGAGAACATCTGAGCAGAGACCCCTCCCCAACCCCAGCTAGTAAATTGGTGGCGTAAAACTTACCAAGCAGAAACCTCCACTACATGGAGTCAGGAGACCAGAAAGGGGCGCTCTCACGCTGCGTGAGGAATGCAGGGCCCAACGGGAGGACGATTCTTCTGTCGTGGCCACAATCCAGCCAATGAAAAGCCCTTTGCTTCCGACTGCCCTCCCAAATTCCTGTCCCCCGTAGGAAAGAGTTCTCCTTCCTTTGACTGGATCACTTGCACTTGGCTCACCTGGCTGCAGACCAAGTTGCAATTCTCTGCTGATTCCTAATAAACCCGTTTTTTTGGGGGGGGTGTTGGGGTTTTGTTCTGTTTTGTTTTATTCTGCGGGAGAAGTAACTGGCAGTCCCTTTGATTTAGGTCAGCAGTGGCATCCATGCTCTGACCCACCACCCCACAGACCTACCAGGTTTCTTTGTCTTTTTCACTATCAAGTTGTGATTCAAATTTTGATTTTGATTCAGCCATACTTCCAAGAACAGTTAAGTCAAGCGCGGACTCACAGCCTCCAGCCGGGCAGTAGGAGCTTTTGCCCCCCTCCCCGCCCCCAGCCCTCCTCTTGCGTCCCCCCACGGCCCCCCACTTCCTCTTGGGTCTTTGGCTCTTGCAGCCCTTCCGGCGTCTTCGTAGCTAAGTCCCTGCAGTAAACCCTTCTTTACTGGGACTATCTGGAGTGATTCTGCTTTCCCAACTGAACGCTGACTGATGTGCCTTTCAACACAAATCTCTTCGTTCCTCGTGGAAGGAAAAGGCATTTGTTCTCTCTTTTTCCAAGTGTCGACCCCCAAAAAAAAAAAAGCACAGCATAAAAGTTGAGAACTATGTTTTATTCGGTGGATTTTCTGAGGACTTCGAGTCCAGGAGACAGTTCCTCCAACAGCTCTACGCACCTGCTCTGATGAGGTAAGGGGAGGAGCCAGGATATACAGGAGTTTTGGCAACAAAGACCAGGTAGTCAAAACATCAAAAGGTCACTACTGTTAATTAAGGAAAACCAGACATCTCAAGTTAAGGAATTTAACGCTTTTCTGTGTGTGGGAAGATGCAAGAATCTGGGCTCATGGAAATCATTCCTTTGATGTGCACCTTAGCTCTCTAGGGCTGCTGTCCTGTGTCCAGCCTGAGTCCCCTGGGGGTACACCATCCCAGGTGGCTGCAGTGGCCGAGGACTGCAGCATCCTTGTTCACTGATATGCAGGCAACGTTTTTCATTCACACAAGTCATCGTGCAATATTTTAATAAAACCGTGCTCTGGATCTATCTTATAAAAATGCCATTTTTTATAGATAGTTTTGAAAGGGTTGTGTGGTTGACCTAAAAGTGTCTGTAAACAGTAAAACAAGGGTTTTCATTTGCTTTTTAACATGTATTTGTGTTATATTCATCCATGGTGTGCTACATTCTACAAAGTAGCTGGTGATTTTTTTTAAAATAATGACTCAAATAATTCTCTTTCTAGATACCGATACAGGAAAAAATGGGCCCAAGACAATGGCCGTGTCCCAGATCTCAGTCGAGTCCCTGGGATGTACCCCCATCAAGTCAGGGTCCTTGGCTTTGTGCAGGGAAGAATTCAAGAGTGAGCCATGGTAGGGTGAAGGTAGATGTATTCAGAGAGATACGTACTCTGTAGACAGAGTGCAGGCCGTCTCAGAGGACAGAGAGGCTATGAGTCGCGGGGGTGGTCAAAGCAAAAGTAGATTTACACACTCAGTAGACAGCGCGGGCCATCTCAAAAGGCAGGAGAAAGGCCTCGAGGTGCAGGGTTGTTAGTTTTTATGGGCTCGACAACTTCTTGTGATGACTGGTGGAATTATTCCAACTACTTTGGAGAAAGGGCTGGGATTCCCAGGAACTGGGCCATCACCCGCTTTTTGACCTTCTGTGGTCAGCCTTGAAACTGTCCTGGCACCTGTGGGAGTGCCATTTAGCAGTTACTATATTTCAATCAGTGTATCTTGAAGTTCAAGGTCTATTGGGGGATGAATCCTCCACCATCTTGGTGGTAATCGCTGTCTCCTCCTTTTAATGGTTGTGCCCTGCCCCCTGCCCTCCTATCTCAATACTGTATTGAGGAAGGAAAACTCTGCCCTGCCACGAATCTGGCTGGCACAGTAGTCAGATAGAGCCAGCTGCAAGGTTAACTGGAAACAGTACTTCTCCCAAGGTCATGCTACAGCTGTAAAATGTCCTAACAACCCCCACCGCCCCCCACCCCCGCCGTTGAGTGACTTCTGCTTCCTTAATCAGAAACCATGTTCTGAAACCTGCAGCTGTCAAAAACGTGGCTGTTTGAAATCTAATCAGTGATGTTACCCCAAAACTGGGTTTTCCTCTTGGTGGGTGTCGAGCCAAAAGACACAACCAAGCCAGAGACCCAGAGAAGGAAGGGTTTATTACTTGCAGGGAGTGAGGGAAACACTGGGGATCTTTCCCAAAGCAGTGACTCCCCGAACAGCAAAATTGAGAAACATTTTAAGTGAAGGGTCTATGTGTGTTCATGAAGGGGCTTGGACAGAGGAGAATTCAGCACAAAACTGGGACAAAAGAGCCCTCACTTTAGCGGACTGAAGTCACAAGGATCAGAGAAGGCCACCGTCATCCGCCCTTAGGTTCCAGTTGATCTGGTGGTTGAGCAGCTCAAATGGGGCTCGAATTCTGTACAACAGCTCAGGAAAGAGCTTCAGGCTGATCTTTACCACTGAGACAGAACTGGGAGTGTTTACAATTGATTTATTTATTTTATTTTTTTTGAACTTTTTTAATTGAGTTATAGTCATTTTACAGTGCTGTGTCAAATTCCAGTGTAGAGCACAACTTTTCAGTTACACATGAACATACATACTACAATCGATTTCTTATCTTTCCTATTGTTACCTCATTGCCTGATAACTGTTCTTCATCTTTTGTTTCCTTAATATTTTTGTTACTGAGCCTTTTAACTTGTTGCATCTGAGAAAGCGAGGTGGGTCACTGACAGCCCTACTGGAGAAATTGGAGAAAATTCAGCCAAGGTTTCCCGAATCAAAGGTTCTCGCTTCTGATACAGGAAAAAATGGGGGGCGTGAGAGGATGGCTGTGTCCCAGGGATTCCCTGGGGACACGCCCCGCCAACTGAGGGTCTTTGTCTTCATGCAGGAAAGAATTCAAGAGCGAGCTACAGTTGAGCAAAAGTGCATTTATTTAGAGAGATGCACACACCATAGACAGGGTGCAGGCCATCTCAGAAGTTTCCACCAAGAACATTGGCTTCATTAAGTTGGACTTAGTGAACTTCCTTGACCGGGTCATCGAGGACATCTGCCCTATGCGGAAACAATGCTAGCTCTCTGTATATAAAACTAAAATTTAAAAACTTCCATAAACTCAACAATGGTTTAAGCAACATTTATTGCTCGGCTACCTGACCAAAGTCACATGGCTGATCTGCAGCGCACCTGCTGCACTGCAGGTATGGTCTTTCTGCAGGGCACCTTGGAAACATACCAACAGCTAAAAGATGTTCATCCTCTTTCACCTAGTAATTCTACATGTAGGAATCCATCCTGAGAAAACCACCAGAGTTGAGACATTTTGTTTTCTGCAGCACTCATGACATGCCAGCACATCCGTTACGACGTTGGCTACAGTGGCATCATACGTTTAGTACGCGGACTGACCGTGGACGCTAGCTTATAATGCTAAGAGGCACAAAAATGTGTATGCCGTGTATACACACATCCTAGTAGACCGTGATTTCCGTGGGTGGCCGCACTGTGATTTTTAATATTATCATTGTCCTTTCTTCTGTTGATGACGGTCAGCACTTACTAATTTTATAATCAGAAACAAAAGCTAAGTCTCTTTCAGTGTTGGGTGTGTGCGATGCTGAGTTTACAGGATGAATAGGCCCGGGGGTGGGAGGGTGGACTCCGAGGCCCATGGGCTCCGCCACCCCACGGAGGCCAACTGCCGGCCCCCTCGCCTGGGAGCGACTGTTGGGCCCCGAGGCCAGGTCTGCAGCGCCAGCGGGAACTCCTTGTGGGCCGTGAAGAAAGTCCCCCGGAAGGCCACCCACAGCGACTCAGCGGCCCAGGGGCCCAGATGCGCAGGGAGCAGCTCGCTGAGTCAAGTGGATGAGTGCGACCGGAGGATGATCGGGAGCTCCTCCGGGCTGTTCGCGGCCTCCCTGGGCAACCTGGAATGGCTGCGGATGTGTCAAAATGAGGACTGCGGAGAAATCCGACTGGATGACAAGGGTTTCACTGTCATCCACTTTGCAGCCCAGAGCGGCAGGCTTGCATGCCTGCAGGTCTTGGTAGAGGAGTACAAGTTTCCCGTGGACCTGCCCACCAACAGTGGCCAGACACCCCTGTACCCTGTCATCCACCGTAACGACGAGGCCATGGCCCTCCCCTGCATTCACTATCTGATCACGCAAGGGGCGGCCCTCAATACTCAGACATGCGACGGCTCCACACCCCTGCGCCTGGCAGCCCGCCAGGGCCTGCTGAGCTGCCTGAAGCAACTGGTACAGGATGGCACCAATGTCCACGCCCCAGACGCCATGGGCTGCAAGCCCATGGACTACTGCAAAATATGGAACCACCGCGACTATATCCGGTTCTTGAAGGATGCCATGTGGAAAAAGGACAAGAAAGACTGTCTGTGAGATGGGGAAACTGAAGAGTCTCAAGGACCAGCTGGCCCTCATGAAGCAGGACTTCCTGGCTGAGGATCAAAAAAAGAAGCAAATTTTGAGAGAAGCTAATTTCGAGAAGTGGCTCCTTTGCAAGCAGCAGCCGCAAGGCCAATCCCTGGTCCACAACACTCAGCAAGAGCCCCATACCCCACCCCAGGCCATCGCCCTCTCCAAGACCCCCACGCGCGGGGACCCCCAAGGGCTTCCACCTCTCCCGGAAGGAACGCCTGATACAGATGGGGCCCAAGCCGCCCTCAGTGACGCCTGCTGCCATCAGCAAGCAGCTCACTGGCAGGCGGCCCAAGGTGTGGAATCCCAGCAACAAACTTACAAGGCCCCCCACCACCCAGATCGGCTACCTACCGGGCATCCGCCTGGGTGTGCATCCCGACCCCAGCCCTGAGCACGACTTCAGCAACTTCCTAAAGGTGAGGGCCGATGCATGGTGGTGTGAGCCTGCCCACCGTGTCTGGCCTCCAGGTGGCGTCCGTGCCTCGGCTGCCTTCAGAGGTGATCATCCGTGAGCTGTTCCCTTCTGTGCAGCCACACAGGATGAAGGTGCCCCAGGACTTTTCCTCTGTCACCTTGAGAGACATCCCCCGGAAGCGGCGCTTGGGTCCAGAAGGTGGTGACGGCACCTTGTGGACTGACACTGTGACTATGTGCCTGCGAGAGACGTGACGGATCCTTCCTGGCAGCTGTGCGAGCCCATCAAGGGCTCCCCACTCTGCCCTCCCCCAGACCACCTCCCACTTACACTTATTTCGGTAGCCTCTGGACCCCAGTGAAAAAAATAAAAAATAAAAATAAAAACTACCCCCCAAAAAGATGATGATTATTGCTGAGACCTGTACACGGGCAAGTGTTGTGGCCAGGCTTAGAGCACAAAATGGCTTAGGCCAAGATGGCTTCTCTTGTGCCAGAAAGCTACGCCTGATTGTTTTCCTCCGGGACCCCAACCCTGTCTGCTTATGGTAAGAATGAAGCATTCCACTTTGCCTGGGGGATCTACGTCTTTGACATAGCGAAGCAGCCTTGATTTCCAACACAGATGCAGGCTCCAAAGGGCTTTCTAGAAAAGACATTGTATTTTAAACTTGAACTTGTCAGGGCCCTGAGTCCACTTTGCAGTTTAGACCCAAAGCTGACCCTTGTCTGCCTTGAGGCTATCCAAACATTGCTTCATTTATATCTTACCTAAGCTCCCTTCCCCCAAATCCTGTAATAGCCTTATCTCTTTCTTTCGTTGGTGAAATGCCCACAGCTCTGCTGGAATGCAGTCTCCCTTTCCTGAAGCCAGCAAACCTGACTTTGTTGGACTTGGGGTTTGTGCTCATGGCCTTTGGCTGAGTGAGCTAGGACAGTATCCAAAGACCCAAATGTTTCCACTGCACGACCAGGGGGCTCCCTAGTCTCCCCCCAGCCACTGGGGAAGCCGCATTATTATTCAGAGTTGTTTCATGGGCATTCAGATAGACCAAAAGAGTAGAATGGATTGGAAGGAGTTACCTGAATTCAGAGACAGGCAAACAAGATCGTCTTTATTCTCCAGCAGAGAATGCAGCTAACTTTCCCTACACCCAGATTTAGCAGCTCCCTCCCTAGGGGGCAGTGATGAGTAAATGCTTCATATCACTGACGAAGCTGTATTTCAAGGCACTGTTCTATAAGCCATGAGACCTTCTGTCTCCAGCCATTTATTATCTGTTGATTTAATCAGAACTACTTGGTAAGTTTCGGGCTGCCCTGGCATGGCGATCAACCATTTCCATACAGTCTACTTAGTTGATTCAGATTGTATCTGTGATTAAGATTGTGACTGTGTAACAAATTTCCCCCAAACTTGGCAGCTTAGCATAATGCTTATTATCCCACACAGTTGCTAAGGCCTGACATTGTCATTATATGCATTGGTAGAATTTTTAGGGAATTAAATCCAGATAAAAATAAAGTCGATACTATTCCTATGTGAATGGAGATATTACCTATTTAAATTAATATGATTACAACCTTGTCAACGCTTGTTGCTGTGTATGTTTTAGTGCATCAGCATATTCATACCCCTCAGGTCTAGGATACAAATACGATTTACCCTGGGAGCCATCACCCATGAAAATTGTACGGTTCAGAAGTAGAGCAAGTTTATAACAACATCAAATTGTTTTAGGGAAATATATCAATTACCTGCTCATTATATGCCCAAAGGAAAACTAGATGGGAGATACACAGAGAGAGAAATATAGATACGTACATATAAAGTAGTGGTCTCATTAGTTTAGGGTCCTAAAGTAACTGTTTGCTTTATATAATAACCTCTGTTGCAATGGTTGGTTAATGTAAATCAGCCCCTTTCTTCTGATAGGTTGTCTTTAGTAACAATAGAAAAGGTAAAGAGGAAAGACCTTTTGAAGTCTTTTCTAAGGTGAATGGTATTTTATTTGTTCCAATTGGTATATTTCTGTATTTGACATAAAACTTAATATGCATTCTGTCAGTATTTTTCAGACACCTCATCAGGACCTAATAAAAAAATAAGGCAGCGTGGAGTATGTACTGGCTGAGTCCAGGGCAATGGACTCAAACAGACTTGAGCTTAAAGACTGGCTACACCACTTACTAGCATGTGACCTTGGATGACCTAGGCTCTCCAACCTTTCATTTTATCAAGAGTAAAGTGGGAATAATAATACATATGTGCCATAGGGTTGTTTTGAAGACTAAATGAGATGTGTGAGTAAAACCCTCTTAGCACTGTGCCTGGCATATCAGAACCATTCTTTAAGTAGTAGCTCTAGTTATTATACTCAGTCAACCCATAAAAAAGGCAGTGTTGCCATACACAAATCTAGAGCAGCTTTATACGTCTATTGGTTGACTTGAAAAACTCAAAATACCGTTAATACAAAATAAGTAACTGTAAGAATAGCACTCAGTCTTGATCCTTTGCACTTCTTTTTTTTCTTTTATTTTTCCGTTCGTGTGATACACCTTTGTCTATCTTTCATTTTTAGAAAAACTTAAAATATGTATGAGTAGGTTTCTTGTTTGTATGAGGGAAGCTGAATTATTACTTTGGGTCTAGTTCTTTTACCCAAAGTCAAAGTCTTGTTCTTTTAACTAGTGAGTTAAGCTCATTTGTGTTTATTGATGTAGCTGATATGTATAATCTTAACTCATTATAATGTTTTATAATGATGTGTATTTTATTTGTTGTGCTTTATTTTTCTACAAGATGTGCATTCTTTACTCTTGTTTAAATATTTTGGGGATTTAGAAAGGTTCATATTTTTGTGCCAGTGGTCATCTTTGTACTTAACGCCTTTTTTCTTCTGCAATGCCTAATCTGCTGTTAATTCCACCCAGTGTACTGTTCATCTCTAGAATTCCCACTTGTGTCTTTTTTATATCTCCCTTGTCTCTACGTAACAGATTCAATCTTTTCCTTCTCGGACATTTTAAACAGTTATATGAACTGTTTGCTTCATCAACTAATTCTATCATCTTGTCATTTCTGGGTCTGTTTCTGTTGATTGATTTATATCCTCACTATGCGTCGTGTTTTCATCCTCCTTGGCATGCTTGGCAGTTTTTGGTTGAATAAGAGAATATCAGCATTTTGAATTGAATGTTGGATTGAATATTGTATCTTGTTGGATGCTAGATGTTTTTGTATTCCTGTAAATATCTGTGAGCTTTGTTCGGGGATGAAGTTCAGTTATTTAAAAACAGTTTGATTCTTTCATATTTTTTTTTTTGAGATTGGTTAGATGGAACCAGGGCAGCCTTTAGTCTAAAGTTAATATTGCCCCATGACTGAGGCAATAACCTCCTGAGTACTGTGTTCAATGTGCCATGAATTATGAAGCTCTGCCCTCTGGCTAGTGCACACAGGGACAGTGACTAGCCCTGTGTGAGTTCCCAGGTTGATTCCCTTTAATTCTTTCAAGTGATTCTTTTCACAGCCTTGAGCAGTTTCTTCATATACATACACTCATCAATACTTGGCTGAAAATTGCAGAAACACCCTTTGCAGATCTCCAGAGCTGTGTGTACATGTGTGTGTGTGTGGATGCATGCACATGCATGTGTGTCTGCACAGCTCTCTCCTCTCTGGTACTTTGCCCTGCAAACTCTAGCCATCTTGGCCTCTCAGTACTTCCAGTCCCATCTCTTCAATTCGGGAAAACCACTGGGTTCCCCTTCCTTGCACCATGACCTGGAAACTCTCTCAGACAATAAGCTGTGTGTTTTCACTCTGTCAGGAATCACTTCATTATCTGATGAGCAACATCTGAAAACCATTGTTTCACATATTTCATCTTTTAGTCATTTCAAGCTGGAGAATAAATCCAGTCTTTGCCACTCAGTCACGCTAGTCACCACTGGGTCCCTATTTTCTTACTTGTATTTTATTATCTGGTTTACTTTCAAAAATCAGTCTTTAAAGCCCACGTATTGTCTACACCAATCAATGAGCTTATTCTATTTTCCTCTTTTTCATTCCCTTCTCCATTATTTTAGTTGCCTAACTTCTATTTTGTCACAGTGTGTGACATTTGTACATTTGTCTTCCACTTTTGTTCCCATTTTTGTTTTAATTTTAATGTATATTTTATATTTCAAAATACTCACCATCAGTCTGTTTGCTGACGTTTTTCCCCAGCCATCATTCAGATAATACTCATCTTCCAGTAGATCCTCAAGAAAGGTTGATGGACACAGATTTCCCTGCATTATTATTATATGCTGAAAACTATATATATATTTAGCCTTGATATTTGAAGGACAGTTTGGCTGGGTATAAAATTTTTGGATCATGTTCTCTTTCATTGGTTGTTTTTGTTTTTGTTTTTGAAATGATGTCTTTATTGCTTTCTCAGTGTATAGGCTTTGAAAATGTTGATGCCACATTAATTCTTTTGTTTTTGTAATTTATTTGACATTTTTGCCTGAGGATGCAAGTGTTCTTTGTCAGTCCAGGTCCTCCAAGAAGACAATTCTAGGATGAGATGAATGGTGCATGGATTTTATTATGCCTGTGAGGTAACAAGGAGGGAGCTGGTAAATGCTGGGAGCAACATTAGACCCCATGCAAGTTTCAACTCTGAGTAAAGGAGACAGGGAAGAAAGACTGGCTGGAGATTTTCTAGGCTTCCATATGGTGTAAGGTTCCCTCAGCCAAAGCCATCCATTAGAAGAGGTCCGTGTCTTCTGGGAATTGTCTTAGCATCCCTCACCAAAACACCCAGTCTTGGCTGTGAACAGGCCAACAGTGGTGGCCAATTATACCCCCACAGTCTGAGATCTCTGAGAGGCATTCTATGGCCACAGCAAGTCCACAGTCATCTCTACCTAAAGGAGTGTACTGCTCAGAAATAAGAAATTCTGAGAATTTAGGTCTGTACACTGCAAAGTTCATACAATGTCTGAATGATTATTTATTTTGTCTAATACCTTCCTTTTGGGAGTCCTGATTCTTTTAATTGAAAAAAAAACCCCACATCCTTACTTAAAATATTAGACACTTCTAATCAAAGAGAGCTCTAAATTCTGTATTTCTCTTTTTTTCCCCCCTGTGCTGTACATTGCATCTTGGTAACTCATCTATTTTCTAATTGAGGTCTAGTTGCTGTACAATATTATAAAAGTTACAGGCATACAATATAGTGATTCACAATTTTTAAGTATTATACTCCACTTGTAGTTATTACAAAATATTGGCTATTTTCAATGTATTGTACAATATATCCTTGTAGGTTGTTTTACACCTGTTAGTTTGTACCTCTTAATCCCTACCCCTACCCCTTAAGACCCTCCCCGTTCCCTCTCCCCACTGGAAACCACTAGTTTGTTCTCTGTATCTGTAAGTCTGCTTCTTTTTTTGTTGTAATCAATGGTTTGTTGTATCTTGTAGATTCCACGTATAGGTGATTTCATACAGTGTTTGTCTTTCTCTGCTTGACTTATTTCACTTAACATAATGCCCTCCAAGTCCATCCATGTTGCTACAAATGGCAAAATTTCATTCTTTTTTATGGCTGAGTAATATTCTGTTGTATGCGTATACCACATCTTCTTTATCCAGTC